TGATGAGTGATGTAGCCGCAGTGAACGCTCTCATGCTCCTCCGTCAAGCGCCACGACATCTCCCGTGTCACAGCCTGACGCCTGAGCTTAGTCAACGAACGATGCCGAGGAATCTTCGGCAAATATATGAAACCACTGCCAGTTTTATGAAGCCACTGCTCGGCATCAATAAACACTGCATCCGGATATCTGGAAGAGTCGCCAAATAAAAAGTCGGTCTTCCTGAGAGGCTGAATCGAACTGGCATCCTTCACGAGAGGCGCGCCAAATAAAAAGTCGGTCTTCCTGAGAGGCTGAATCGAACTGGCATCCTTCACGAGAGGCGCATCTGTGAGCAACTGGCGAAGAGCTCGATGTCCACCTTCCTTCACCACTTGGGCAACCTCTGTCGACGTGCCCGAAGAAAACCGAGGAGTGACTGGGATAGGAGAATAATCGTCGGAAGTCGAATAATACTCGCCACGACGCCCGTACACTGCGTGAGAGGAGAATGCTCCAGAAGGATAGCCCACTGGAAATGAACAGTTAAACATTTGTTAGTCTCAATTATAAAAGGAAGTTGAACTCATCCTACGAACGGGTAAGATAGAGTCACTACCTTATAAAAGGTGAGACGATTTGGCCACATTATGCACTTATAAGATAAGATATATCAAAAAAATATCCCTGCCTTATAAAGCACAATGCAGCGTCAAAACGCCCCTTTATTGATTTTTGAGATATGGTTTTGACCAAGCAAAACCTATCTTTAAAGCGTCGATCCTCACCAAGGAGAATCAAGGCTCTTCCCGATTGCCTCACCAAGGAGAACAAAATGGGAATAAAAAGGACCAATTTGTAAATTTCCAAGAAAAAATGGACTTTGTAAATTTCCAAAAAAAATAGCTCACCAGCATAAGAGGGAGGCGCGCCATCAGCCGACGCGGTAGAAGATTGACCCCTCGCAATACGAGACATGGTGACCTGCAAAATAAATTAAAGGATCAGATCCAAAAAAAAGTTCCCCTTTTTTATTGCAATTCTACCCCCCTGAAAGACGAGCTCGAGGCGCCAAATCATAATTCTAACCCTCACATGCAATCCCACAAGTTCATAAATTGAATTAAACATGAAATATACTAAAATTGTGGAGGATTTACCTGAGAAAAAGCTCGTGGATCCAATAAAAAAATCAGATCTTAAAAGAGGCTCAGACCACGTGTTCGAGGGGCCTAAGAGAAATTCTAAATATGGAAATTTTGAGGGATTTCTCAGTCAAAAATCAAAAGGAAGGACGAATCTAAGACAAATATGAAGATTTGAGGAAGAACGGATGCACGAGGGAAGAGAAATCCAAAGATAGGGGAGAGAGGGGGGCCGGCCCTAATGAGGAGAAAAAGACTCCTTTTTATAATGTTGAACCAAGTCTAGTTGAACCGGACCAGACCAAGTTGAACCGGACCAGACCTGGTTTGAACCAGAATTCAAATTGAAGCTGAATCGAGCATCGAAACAACTTCAAATCGACCGAGGGTTCAGTCCTTGGTTTATTCTTGTCTCTCCCACATATTCGGAAGGATCAGAAGGTTTTTTGAGCCTAATTACTGCCTTTTTTGGCTCATTATCAAGCCGGTTCAGCTCATTCGGGCACAGAAAATACTCCAATAAGGTATATGAGTATAAACTGTTCCCTATTTTTGGTTGAGAAGTTCCTGGAGAATATTTTTATAAATATTCTTAAGGATAACTCAACAACACTACGCCGGACAACGCGTCGCAAACAAAGACTCAACGTCAACATTCGAGAGTCAGTACTATGTTGAACCAACAAACATGAGCTAAAGATCATAAAATCAGGAATTGACTTCAAATTCGAAATTCTGACAACGGTCAGACAATAAATGCAGCACCGAAAACCTTACGGACATTCGACAAAGCACCGAATAGCCTGAAGGATTGAAGGAATCAAGAACAGAAGTCATTCCGAAGTCCCGTCATACCGACTGAAGGTTGGGACAATCATATCCAAAGTATTCCAGACTCTTCTATAAAAGAACGAGACTGAAATACTTTGGAGGGGGTATCTGTAGGCGTATAAAATTGCTTATAGATCCCTTAGCACAGCTCAGCACAAACCGACGAACTAATGAGGCGACGAGGTTAACAAATCGCACGCAAACAACGGAATAGATCCACTCGCATGCGGAATCAAGCTAACGGGTTGAAGAGTCAACGAGTCATCCATCAAAGGGCAGACTCGGACGAATCACGATCGAATCAAGATCAGTTTCGGACTCGAACTCAGAAGTGGATTTACTGCCAAATCAGGAATCGGATTTACTGCCAAATCAGATCAACAAATCAGAGTCTAAGTCAACCTAATCACGGACAGAACCGAAAAACGGATACAACGACAAAACGACGGAACCCAAACACCCTGAGGGGCTCGGCCGAAACCGAGCCACCCATAGGTGGCTCGGGTGCGCGAGCACCCATACCTATGGTGGCTGGCAGAGCGGCCACCTATAGTGCGGCCCAGGTCTGTGCTGGCACAGTGAAGAGAGGCCCTATAAATTAGAGAGGGGTTCGGTTCATTTGTTCAAAGGTTGGAACTTTGAGAGCGAAACCTCATTTGTTTTTATATGCCGAATTCGAGAATTGATCTTAGGACGTTTTGAAGACCTTGAAGACTATGAGCATTTAGATCTGCGTTCTGTCGAGCATCCACGTCACAAAAAGACAGTAGTTCGATGAAGAGAAAGATCAGATCTGAAGATCTTACACGAAATATAGCTCCGCATCAAAGCTTCCGGCTTTCATCCGAGAACTAAGGACGATCTATTTTCCTTGGTAATTAATCCCCCCGGCCTGATTAGTTCCTTTGTGAAAATAATACCCGCTCAAATGTTGTAAGATCCGACTGATCAGATCCACGCGTGGTCACGGATACCCCGCGGCGTTGGCAAAGAACCCATACAACGCGAGCAGACGCAAACAGACCTCTGATGTTCGGAAGGAAAGTTGTAATCTTTTCGTTTTCTTTGATATTGATTCGTAACCGGATCTAAAAAGACTGCGATCTTGTAACCAAAAAGCTTACTTGAGATAACAATGAATTCAATGAAGGCAATTTTTCACTCGCGAACAGACGCCCTCTTCCAAGCCGCCAACAATGGAATGGATCCGTGTCAAACGGAATCGTTCGACGCTGGAAGAACGTATCCGCAAACGCCGCGCACTATCAGCGCAGGCGCGGGCTCAAGCCGAAGAAGCCCGTAGAAAGCTGCAAAAAGAGGTGGCCAAGAAGCCGCCATCAACCCGCAAAACTTGGAAACCGAAGTCTGAAGCGGCGATTCAGACTAAGGAGCAACAACTGCAGCCTCCGAATGTTCAACCTCCGGTGAATCAATCGAGACCACCGATGATTTCCACAACTGCTCCGGGAGATCCCGCAGGACCATTCCAGAAAAGGAAGTCAGTCTTGGAGCGCCTCGGTCCACTTCCCGAGGAGCGAAGCAAAGCTCCAATCCAAGGACGTTTGGGCCCACTAACAAAGCCCCGAACGAATCAACATGATGGGGGTCGCCGCAACCCTCAACATGACAAAAAAATCATGGCACCCAAGCGCACTACTTTGCGCATTGAAGTTCAGGAGCCCGTTGAGAATTCACGCCCACAAAGGCGCGTTTCGAGGCGCGTGACTCTCGAAAGTCCGAAGAAGGTAATTCTCTCTCAGAAGGAAATGTTATCGTCTGATGATGATTGCGTTATACCTGAGAAATCGTGCCAACACACGATAGGTTGCTCCGACTT